TTAAACAATAGAAATACATAAGAGTATATAATTGTTTTATATTTTAACTTTTTAATAAACAATCTAATCAAACTCAACCTGAGTTGGTCAGTTTTCTAGTATTTTAGATTGGCTTTGGTTTAATAAATATATATTAATATTTTATATTTTAAATTTATTTTTTTAATACAGGAAATAGGAAAATTCCCATATTTGTTAGTCTAAAATATTTTACATCATAGATTTAATTTTTTTGATTTATTTTTAATAATATCATTGTAATTTATGAAATTTAAAGTTAATTTTTAAGTTTAAATCTTTTGAACAAAGAAACTAAACCGAAAATATACCCAAATCGATACAACCCGAGTTGGTGGGTTTTCGCTAACAATCGGTTTTGAGTGACAAATTAAGGACTTGACCAGATCGATTTGGTTGGCAAAACAGCCTACAAATGAATTGAACCAATCATTGAACACTTCTAATTTCAACTAAATTTATAGTCTAATCTCTAATAAATAGCAATAGTTTAATCCCCAATAATTATTGAAAATTTATAGCAAATGTACACAATCATTGAAAATAAGTTTATAATGGAAATATAATAGATATATAATAAAAATATAATAATTACAAAAATATAATAAATAATGAAAATATACTAAATTTGTCAATAAATAGTGTAATCTTAAATAATAGTTTAATCTCTATTAAGTATTAATCTATAAATTATAAAAATAAATTTATAACAAAAATACAATAAATACGATAAATTAAAATTCAAAAGTTAAATTATAGTTGTTTAATCTCCAATAATTATTGATAATTTTCTATTAAATAACAAAAATAAAAATACATTTATAAATAATTATTTAAAGCATATTTATAAAAACAATAAATAATTACTGGAAATAAATTAAATATTAATTATAGTATATATAAATATATAATGAATATACACATATAATTTTGTTGATAGTTATTTTCTATGATTATTAATTGATATAAGTGAAATTAGTTATTTACAATATTATTTAGTTATTATAATAATATTGTTATTTAAATTCTTAAAATATTAATTATTTGTTGAATTTAATAATCCATAAAATTATAATTGTACTATTATTACATAATTCGTTATTAATTTTGTAATGAATATTATGAATTCTATTATAATTATTTTTCTACTTTCAAGATTTTTTTAATTTATTACATAATTTTGTTATTTTAACTATTTAAAATTTTGTCATGTTAAATATTTTGTTATAAATAGTTCTAATTTTTTTTAATTGAATYTTTCTTTAGATAGATATAAATAAAAAAGTGGGGGAGAGGATAAATAGGAATTAGAGATAGTTTAAGAGAGAATCTCTCTACTAAATTAGAGATAACTTAAGAGATAAATAGGAGTTAGTGATAATTTAGAAGATAAATAGGAATTAGAGACAATTAAGGAGGAAGTTGGGGAAAGTCATGCCACTTGGCTAAACATTAGAAAAGCAAATCCATGTTTCTTTATGGTTGTTAGAAATAATTAAGCATATGTCTATACACATATACAATATATATAATCAGACCGCCCAGATGGGATAAGGTCAGGTTGCACTCAAATTGGATTCAGGTTTTCTAAGGGCTAGATCCGAGCCTAACTAGTGTTTGATTCGAGTTGAGCTRAGCCGAATAGCTAGCTATTCAAGCTTAACTCGCCAAGGTAGTACAAGGCTCGAGTCAAAATCTCGTAAGCTCGAGCTCGATTTGAGAAAAATATTTTATAAAAGTAAAAAAAATTATATATAAAAATATTTTTTATTTGATATTTAAAAATTTAAGAATTATAATAATTAATTATTGTTATATATAAAAATAAAAATATTATATATAATTATATATATAATAATAATAATATTATTATTATTATTATATGTATTTAGTTAGGCTCGAGCTCGACTCGAAGCTCGGTTGAAACTAAGCTGAGCTCGAGTAGCTCGTGAAGAGCTTGGCTCGTGGCCACCCCTAAGCCTAACCCAAAGAAATTTGAAAGCTTGGACTTTTGGGCCCAATAACAAAAAATTTAAGCCCAGCCCATGTAAAATTATGGGCTAGGGTTTGAGCTCAAGTTAGACCCACTCAAGTTGCACCCTTACTCCCACATATCAGTGGGATGGCATAGAGAGGGTGGTAACCAATATCCAATTACCCATATACATGACAAATCCGGCCTCGATTAACAAGGAATGGGCCCACGTACTTTAAATATGATCACGATTAGGTCTATGTCAAAATCCGACTCTAACTCCAAAGTCTGTTTAACGGGAATTTGATATAAATATTTAAATTTTAATCAAATATTTATTTCCTTTCATTTCAATTTGTATGTATGTATGTATGTATGTATTATATAAGTTTAGTCATTATTTTTTTCT